GGGACTTCTGACATGACATCCTGAGCAGTCAGGAGAGCAGAGAAGCCACCCACAAAGATGGGCATCACCAGAAGAAGAATCTGTTGGGGATAATTTCTGATAGTTCAAGAACCTGTTCAAATTTTAAGTAGCCCCTTTTACCTACCTGGAACAAAACATCACCTGCTGCTCTGCAGCAACAGTGTTGACATTTTTGGAGCATAAGGGGACAAAGGAAAGTTTTGCAGGACAGTGTGGTAATGTTGTAGCTGTTTATAGCAGCTTCTCACAAGTGGGAGAGAAAATACACAGGTGCTTACAGGAAAATTTTATAAGTGGAAATATAAGATGAAATTATGTGCTGTCTGGAAGCAGACCAAATTATATATACTGTAAGCAGGACAGAAGCAGCATAAAAAGAACTTTGAACATAAAGATGTGACTGAAAATGGAACAGGAGAAACACCAAACACAATTGGAAAAAAAAAAAAAGATTAAAATCAGAAACAACAAACAGCATAAGCTTTCCAAATAAAAGTATTACTTCCTGTGAGACCTTTGGCAAGTTATTCTGTTTCCTCATAAATACTGTGGAGATAATGTTTCCTGCTGTCACCAGCTCCCTAAAAGCTTTAAACTCCTGGTTGTTTGTAGAGAAATCAATCCCAGGGAAGAGACGGGGATATACAGAAGGTTTGGGCCTTAAGAACTTTAGCATTTTGTAAATGAAGCTTTAACTTTAATCTTCACCATTATGCTGCCATCAGGTTTAACGCATGTTCTTTGTTTAAGGTACAGAATAAAAAAATATGCATTCTGTTTTGGTAAACAAGAAGGTGAAAAACAAATTAGACTTCTATTTGAGGTCTCCATTACCACACAACCAATCAAAAGCACACACAGACAGGTTATGGAATGAGAGATTACAGAGATTACCGACCACAGCTGTGCTAAACTCATGAGCCCACAAACACACGGGGTTGATAATCAGTCTTCTAAGTGTATGTTGAGTCACAGCTTGAGTCTGACCTGTGGTTTTCCCTGACTACTTTTTTAAGATCACAATGAACTGTTCTTCAGCTTTGCCCCATAGCTGTGAGCAGCAGATCTGTTGGGATACATCTACATTATGCAGTGAACATAAGCTACAATTAGAAAGGCCCTTTAACTCGCATCTCCCCAGCTGCTATAAACTGGCATAGATACATTAAAACCAATTGGCCAGATTCCCCAGACAAATCAGTGTCACTCCACTGAAGTTGATGAAGCAACACCAACTTGTAGAAGTTAGGGATCTGGTCCACAGCCTGCACTGCAGTCCAGAAGAGCCATCTGTGTTTAACAGCATCAGAAATCAAAAGGAAAATCTTTATAATTTACTCAATATTACTGAGACAAATGATTTCCATGATGTTAAGTCATGGAACAAGACTAAACAAGAGCTATAATAGATATAAAATAGCTTTTTGTTTCTTCCTCAGTATAGTTTTACCAGGAAAAGTTATGTAATTTCTTGCAAAGTATTCCATGAGGCTATGAAACATGAAGGCAAGAAGGAGACAACTGAGGAGGGAAGAGGAACAGGAATAACACTATAAGGAATGCAAGCTATTTAATGAATTATAGGCATGACAAAATAAAGTTTGCTGCCCTGCTCACACCGACTTTATATCAAACCTATTCCCACTGATGTCAATGAAGAGTGGCATAACACAATACTGCTCAGTAGCACAAAGGAGGGGCAGCATAAAGGCTCAGTTAGTTCAGCTTTTTATTTTGGAAGCAGTTATGAAAAGCTTCCATATTCAAGCTTCATGGGAATTTGGATACCATTTTTACCATCCTAGTTGTGAAAAGACATACAGAGCTAGAACTAACTCAGTAATTAGCACTGAGGGGAAGGCATATCAAAGCATCTAGATTCATGTTTTGTGGCTCACTGGTAGAAATCAATGTTATTTGTGCAAAACCCCTCTGAGGTGTCCAGGAAAAAGCAGTGCTTTTCTCATGCTGCCATGCAACAGCTCAATCTTAAGTTTTCTAAGGTGAAGAATTCATTATTCCCTTTACTTTGAACAAGCTGTCTTTACACACCAAACTCACTGAAAAGAAAGAGTTTGTTTATGCTCATAACACATGCACACACGTGTATTTTCAGGGCACAGAATGTAAATGAACTGTGAAGACAAGATGCTCTGAATTCCAGGCAACCAAACACATCCCCACGAGTTCTGGGCAACACAATGTCACTCTGTATTTGCTCTCACAGCCATTGTTTGTCCTAGAGGCTAATACTTAAGAAGGATGAGTAAAAATGGGGCTCTCAGAGAAAACACGTCTTCTGCTTTGGCAAGGAAAAAATTAACTGCACCTGACAAGCATCTGCCCTCAGCAACTGTTTCTCACCCTGCTCCTAGCTCTCTTGTGGCTCCACTAGCTACCTGATCAGTCCCCAGAGGAAACTCTGAAGTGAAAACACTGAAGATCTCTTTCAAGAGAGACTCTCCTCGAGATGCAAAGGTAAAGTGGGAGTGAAAAAGTTTGCACACTGGGTGACAGTTTCTTCCAGTGTGCAAAGTGGGACAGAGAATAGAAATTCTGCTTTAACCTGTATTCTATTTTTAATGTTTAGAGGTGTTTTGAATGACATTGAGAAAAGATGCGTGTGATTGAAAGAAAGACTACCACCAAAATCAGAGTAAGCAGGTTCATGCCATTGGGTCCTACTGGCTCTGGGCTGACACAAGGAAAGTAGCTATTCAAGACTAAGCCTCTCCAGGGCGCTGGCAGTGCTTGGTGCTAACAGCACACAGAGAATGTGTGATGCAAATTTAAGTCTGTAACCACTAGTAACTCATTGAGAGGATTTAAGATTTCAACTAAACTACATTTGAATAAAGGTATGCACAAATGAACTACTGGTAAGCAGCTTTGCATTTCAGTGCTGTTATTCTGCAGAGATCAACTTTACAGAAACACGCTCAGGCCTATTCCACAGGTGTTCTTTAGTAATTCAATCAACTTTCACTCACTGCCAGTCCTTTGGCCTTGGTCTAAGATCTGAAAGAGCCAGAAAAACTGCAGCTTGCCTTCAATCATCTTTTAAGCAAAATCTAGTTCCATGTTTCAGCTGAATTTGGTATTTGATTCACTGTTCACTACAAAGAATTATACTCCTCTTTATCAGATTTGTAGTACATGATCTGCAAAAATCAGTATCTTCCTAAGATTTTAAACTTTAATTATTAACACAGGAAAAAATATCTTAAATATCATAACTTCCCTCTATAAACAGAATTATTGATTTTGCTTGAAGCATTGCATTTTCGTTTAACTTTATTAAAAAAAAACACCTTCAAGGAAAATCTTGCTTTATTATTATTATTATTAGTTTTCAAAAAATCAACAACAATGTTTATTCACACACCAGTTGCATGTCTCTTCTTTTTTTTCATAAGCAATCACATTCCTGTCGTGACAGACAGGATCTTTGTAAAGTTCTCAACAAGGCAGGGACTTTCCTGAAGATGCTCTTGACTTTTATATAATGTGCTCTGATATCACATAGTCTACCAAACTTTAAAGTAGATTTTCTAATTCATACATAAACACTATACTAGCTAATAATCAGAATAATTTCCTAGATAATATGACTGAAATAAAAGGTTTAATGTTCTCCAGATTTCTTAAATGCCACAGGTCCTTAACTCTCACCCCTTTCAGCATGATCCCTTATGTGTATAATTCACATAAAAATCTCAAACAGAAGAAAAATTGTTTGTCCACAGAACAACATCTATCTTTTAAGTCTCTACCTTCCCCCTAAAATAATCACCAATCCCAAACCATACATTAGAGTCTTCAGTAAGCACACTGCTATTCTATCATGAAACTACCATTATAAAGACCAGCAGAAAGGTTTTTTACAACAATTTACTTAATCTGTATAAAGTGAAGGAAAGACATGTACCTTAGACAGTGGAAAATGTAGGGAGAGGGCAAAGAGATAAAAAGAGAAGAAAGTACCATACTATATTCTCTTTTTGACTGAAAATGGTTAATTTCTTTTTTCAAGCTTGACAGAACCTTGGAAGCTTGATATGTGTTTTTAAAACTGAAAATAATTAAATCAGAAAGTTCTGATTAAAAAAAATCAAAATAATTAATTTTTTCTCAAATTAATTCATAAAACATATTTGAGGATTTTGGTGTAGTTGCTATTCAAGAGCTATAGCTGCACAGCCATCCTCATGGAATACGTGCATGACAATCCTGTTTTCCTGAATGTAAACACAGTTTGCTTAAACACTTCCAGTCTGCAGGGTAAGTTTCACTAAGGAAGAAAGTACTCAGATGAAATGATGACTCATAGACTTTAAATATCATACTTAAGCATGAAAGATTTGCACCTCCTATAAGACATATTTTGTCTTCTTAAAACATGCTAGCCACCTCTGTCCTCTTTTCTAAGCCAAAGAATATCTTTGGTCCAACTCACCAGTTTCAAATATTTAATCAAAATTGAATACTTAAAGGAAGTAATAATTACTCAAGAGACTAAAGCCTATTGCTACCCTGTCTCCTCATTTTTTTGTAGAGTATGAAAGATGACATCCTAGCATGTTTTTGAAAAAGTGTTTTCCTCATGAGAACTGTGTCTGTAGAGCAATCTTTCTAAATTCTTTTACTTATATTAGTGGGGAAGGGCAAAAAACCCTAAGATCTTTCCTTTGTTTAAATGCATTTCCTGCCTTCCTTACTGCTATAGACTGTGTTGTGGCAGTCCTATTTATAGTCCAAAGAAAGGAAAAAGCACCACTGGAGGCAGGAAAACTAAGTTGGGAAAGAATAGAAGGAAGTGTGGTTGCCATTTAGCCAAACAATCTAGAACTAATTGAGCTCAAAAGAGCCCCAGCTTCAGTGAAGCTGCTGGGAGTGAACAGAGCACAGTCCTGCTTCTCTCTTCAGGGCCCTGCCAGGGCTACTGAGCATGAGAGTCAGGTACAGGACACTGTTGGGCAGCAAATAACCTCAGCATCTCAACACTGTGAGAAGAACCCTTTCAAAAAAGGAGTGTGCTGAAAGTTGGATACCTATCAAATTAAGGTAAGTGTCTCCTTCTGGTGTTTCTGCTTGCTACATGCTCCAGGTCTTTTCAACCTGGTAAATGAAAAAAGAATGGGCTTTGGAGAAGGAATGGCATCTGACTTTTAGATAAAATTTGGTAGGATGTCTGATTTTTAGATAAAGAAATCTGAATTCAGTTACAGATTCCTCAAAATTTTCTTAAGCAAAAGAAGCTTTTGTCATATATCCATAACATAACTTTGCTGTTTTCCTCACTTATGTCATATTCATCTTATAATCTGTGATTAAGTACTAGAGAAATGTTGATGGTAAATATATGCCCTGAAGGAAAATATGAAGTCAACACTGCAATAGGTTAAAGATTTAGAAACAGAGAGAGTGAGGGAGAAGGACATGTAATATGTATTTACGTATATAATCTATAATGGAATAATTTAATTTTATGAGGTACATTTGAAGGTAGGAACTTAGCCAGAACTAAAGCACATGAAAGTTTCTATAGTGTTGGAATTTATTATGGCAGGTAATTTGTGTGTGTGTGCATGCATGTACATAAAAATAAAATACTATACATAGATACCCATATATATTATGGGGTTTTGCATTGCAATATGACATCTTGCCATTCTGAGGTCTAATTTAAACTGACAATAGAATGTGAGTGGAAATTTTTAATCTGCTTATTTTCAGATAATATACAGAGTTAAACTATCATGACTGCATGTGTAGAAAGCTCCATTTTAAGACAGATCAGTGTATAGAGATGATATTAATTCACTGAGTTATCATCAATAAGACAGACTTTTAAGAGGGAAAAATTGTGTTTGATTTCTTCAATTTCCAACATGTCCTTTGCACTTCTAACAAAGGAAATGCTGTTGTGATTTGAAGGCAAGAGAGTAGAATCTGTAGTATACTAGATTCAGGATTTCATCATGCAAATTCTATCTTTGAATGATCTATGAGAAAAACCTTTGTATTAGTCTCATTTGTGCTAACACATTACTTCTAAGTATACGCCATTCAGCTTATTCATTTCTTATTCAGATGTTGTTTAGTATTAGTGGTTTATGGTAAAAAGTTCCTGGTGAGTAAAAAGGAAGTGTGATGTGTTGTTATTCTACTGTATCCCCATAGGATGCTATTATGTTTAGAGTCTGCTATTGTGACGACAGCAAGGCAGGATGTCACCCATGTAGGTGAAAAGCTGCGATAGGACAATTGTAAACAGCAGCAGTCAGCTGAAAACCTGATCTAGGGAGGTGCCAAGCAGCAATTCCAATGAAGCAGATGTTAGTCCATGCCCATGAAAAGGATCAGGCCTTTCTTTGTCTGATTTCAAAATACTCAATTATTTACAGTAATTCTCAATTCTAGGAGATTATAAGCCTGTTCTTGTGAAGAATTAAACACCCATAATGGTAGTAAAACTAGAAGCTTGTACAGGTATTTGCAAGAGAAAGCTCTTCAGACTTCCATTTCAGTAACTAGCATGCGTGCTCTCATGCAGGTAATATTCCTTGCCTTCAATTTCAGTAACTGATTCCCCTGCACAAAGACTGAGCACAAACAAGCAAACAAAAAGTCTTTTAATTTAAAAATTTAAATTAAACTGGGTAACCACCATTTTACTAGATGAACTTTTGTAAAACTCATAGTCTAGAGGGAAGGAATGGAGGCAAATCTGCAGATCAATACTCACCCAAGCAAAGAAGCATTTCAATTTCGTGTGTTAAATAAATACAATCATTCCATGAGGTGTCAGTTGCACAGCAACTGCAGTACAGCTCAACAGTACACACTGTAACATTCAGATTTATTCAGGTCAGCAGCACTCACCACATTATTTTAAAGGCTGGTATCACTGCATGAATGTAGCAAAACAGAGATCATTCCTTAGCTATAAGGAGAAGATCATTTACAAATCAGCCAGTTACAATGTAATTATACAGGAAGAGGTGATTAAAAAATGTACTAATGCACTTTAATGTTTCCTATGGAAAAGATATTATAGGTAGCACTCAATAAATGCCTAATTAATACTATTAATAAACATACACATAAAATGACTTGTTTCTAAACTGCAAGAGTTCACGTGTTCATGAGTTCAAAGTTTGCAAACTGAGAGATTTGTCCTGTTCATTTCAGAAGGCCTTAGAATGAAATTTGCACCCCTACACCTTATAAAATCTTACCACCTGCTAGGACCTAAGTACTCTGCAGGAGATTCTTTCTGTATAAATGCTTTTGAGTGTTCACAGGTACTAACAGGGTTGCAATTATTAAAGCTCCATGCTAAAAATTAAATACGAGAATTTGATATACCAGAAGGAAGTTGTAGTTCACAGGCTTCCTAACCTGACATTATTTTGCCAAGTGATATAAAGAAGTCTAGGGTTGTCAAATAAATACCTCAGTCAGCTGTCACTACTATGTGAACAGCATGGGTTTCTTGTTCCAGGAAAGCTGACTGACTTAAAGAAAAATCACATGACTTAAAAAATAATGCACTTTGGGTGACAAGCCATGCCATGCTTTCATGAAAAGCTGGCTCAGGTTTAGTAAGATTTATTATTCCTCATGCAATTGCTCTGGTGTAAGTATCTTAATTTCTCCCTAAGCCCCTATTCCACTTTACCAGATGCTCTTACAAGGAAGCCTTGTCCTCCAAGTCACAGTCAGGCCCGCTAACATTACTGGAAAAAAAGAGCAGAGATTTAGAAGTGTGTCTGTTTGGGGCAGTCAATGCAAGTACAGTATTCAGTTGTCTCACTCAAAAAGCTGAATTAGGGGAGAGGGAACATAAAAGGAAACCCAGTTAAAACACATTAAGAAATCAACATTCAATATTGGACAGCATCAAAATAGTCCTACAAAGAGAAGGAGTTGCTCAACACAACAGAAATGTTAGTGCTAAAACATCATTTCTTTGATAATATCTAAAACACCCAAGTCATAACTATGTGCTGAATAACATCCTGACTCATGCAAGTGTTTATGCAGGTGCTTAAATTTAAGCATATGAGTAGACCCATTGATTTCAAGCAAAATTATTTCAACAGGCTGATAAAATTTAAAGCCTGGCAGAGTGATTAGATCGTCTAGTCTGACTTCAAACACAGCATGTTAATTCTACTATTCCTCTTATCCAAAACTCAAAAGCTTGTCTGCTTACAACAGAACAATATGGATGCATTACGTTCAAAATCAAAGTTTAAGGGGAAGATCATGATGCTCTGCACGCATGAGTAGTGACCCACAACAAGTGAGAATTGTTCAAGTTGGCACAAATTCCTTACCTCAAATGGGAATTAGATGTTACAGGCTTTGAACCAACTTACTGCACAAGGGTGAAGGTCGATGTGTGTGTGGAAGATGGACTGTTTCTCCCAGAAGTCTATGTGCTATCAGAAAAAACCATTAACTTTATTTTGGTTTCTTTCTTACTCTTCTAGTGGACTAGAAGAGTACTGTTGTGTAACCAAGGATGAATAAAAAAGCTGCTTTAAAATCAATCTTTATGGCAAAGTGCAGTTATATTTTTTGCCTTTGGTTCTCTCATTTCTCAAAGACCATGTGCAAACTGTGGTACAAAATAAGGAGCTGTTGTTCAGAAGCAGATGAAACACAGATATGTTAACCAAACGGAGACATACAGCAAAAATTAATTTGTCAAATCTCTTATCATCCGTTGATGGGAGTTCAAACAGTTTAAAAAGACTTACTATTTGAACAACAGACAAGAGAAAAAGTGAGAGACTTCACCTGGGGCCTCCTTTACAAGGATCAGTTATAATGAGTTTGTATTGCATGAACGCATAGCAGCAGAACAGTGTTATTGAAGAATACTTACAACATACAGTCATACTGAAAAACAAAGCAGGAGGATAAGAGTGTCTTGGAGTGCAAGCCCACCTTGTCAGTAACCATGTAGGTATCTTCATGTCTTGGGTTAGCACAGAAAGTCATGTTGGCTGTGAGAAGTATTTTTTACTTTATCTTCTTTCTATTTACAGAGTTTCAGGGTTGGTAGTCTCCTTGTTACTTAGTATAATATTTCCTGGGAAGCAGAGGGGTACCTCAGGGGAAGGAGAAGCCTGTCCCAGTTTACCATAGGAGGGGAAAATGGCAACCACTGACTCTCACGTAGAGGTAGATTCAGTTCTCAGCTCTTCTGTAAACTTACTGCAGCAATTTGTTCTCATTTCTACACTGGATATCATCTCTGAAAGGATCCTTCCCAACCACCCATCTAGTAATGGTTGCAGACCCATTTATCACAATGGCTCCCAAAGAGACTGTGTGAACTCAAGCACCTGCACAATGCAAAACACAACCCTGCTGTAACAGTTCTGTAGTGCAGGACCACACATCTCCCAGGGAACGAAAATGCAAAGTGGCCAGTCTGTTGCCAATATTGCAACGAAGTTACGCCATGTGGTCAAGACAGCACAAACGTGGTAAACAGCCGGAGCAGCTATAGTATGATACGAAGTGTTGTGGGCAGTCTGCTTGAGCAGCGTGGTTCAACCATATGCCCAATAACTCAGCTGGGGAGACTGGGGGGAGGAGTTTAAAGTCAAGCTAACAGGTGTGGCATTGTCTCACTAACTGATTGATGACAGTTTACGCTATGAAGCTGTAGCTCACTTGAGTTAGAGAGCACAAAAATTAATGTGTACAGCATCTCTGTTTAGACAGCTCAGTATTCTTAGAATCTTTTATATTCTAACACACTTTATTTTTCCAGCATGGTACTTTATTGTTGTTTTGGATTATTACCGTAGCAGGATTATCTTGGGAGGCTGGAGACAAAGATAAATCTTCAAAGATCAGCCTGCTCATTACTAAAGGGAAAACTGAAGTAGCATTCAACCTCAACTGAACTACAAAATATTCTTTGCAATTTCAGAAATGGGAAGAGGAAAGTGAGCGGATCAATGCTGAATTCTTCTAAGCTGCTTGACATTCCTCCCAGTCATGGCTACTCTCTTCTTTCTCTCTCAAAACAAGGAACC